GCACGCACGCACGCACGCACGCACACACACACACACACACGTGACATGCACACACTCTTTTTCTCTCTCTCTCTCTTTCTTTCTCAATCTTGCTCTCTCTCCCTTTCTTTTCTGTTCGCCATATCTTTCCCTCCCTTTAATTCAGCCCTCCATCCCTGCACCTTCCCTCCCCCTCCTCCTCTGTCCCCTCCCCTCCTTCCCCTCCTCCTCCTCACCCTCTCCCTCCCCCATCACTTACTTCATGTCCGTGCGGCAAATGTGTGTGATGCGGGAGCGACCGGACCCACACGGCTCAATGAGGTATCGCGACGCCAGCACGACTCCACGCACGCCACCTAGCGGCAGCGCGCCCGCGTGATCGACGGAGGTAATGACGGCGACGCACGTGCCCTTCGGAAGGTCGATCTGCCACGACCTGTGACGTCAGAGAACAAATCAACCAATCAGACAACGGAACGACGACGCGAATGTCATGATGCCGGTACGCGCGCACGCATGTACACACGCACACACGCACACGCACGCACGCACGCGCGCGCACACACTGCCGCGCAGGGTGAAATATATACGGATATGATTGCCAAAGAATAGGAGCAGGGTGTGTAAATGAATGATAAACAACTGTAAACAATACCAAGCTAGGGGGTAAATACCAAGCTAGGGGGTAAATACCAAGCAAGCTAGGGTAAACTACCAGCTAAGGGAGAGTGAGGCAAGGGTAAATACAAGCTAGGGGGTAAAATACCAAGCTACGGGGGTAATACCAAGCTAGGGGTAATACCAAGGCTAGGGGGTATACCAAGCGTGTGAGAATACCAAGGCTAGGGGGTAAATACCAAGCTAGGGGGTAAATACCAAGCTAGGGGGTAAATACCAAGCTAGGGGGAAATACACCGCTAGGGGAAATACAAGCTAGGGGAAATACCCAAGCTAGGGGGTAAGATTACCGGCAAGCTAGGGGGTAAATACCCAAGCTAGGGGTAAATAACGGCAAACTAGGCAGGGTAAATACCAGAAGGCCTAGGGGTAAATAACCGTCACGGAGGGTATACCACTACCGGGGGTAAATACCCCGCGTGGAGGTAATACCCAGCCTGGGGTAAATCACCAAGCTGAGGGGTAAATCGCAAGCAAGGGGGTATACCGGAGCCTAGGGGTATAACGAAGCTAGGGGGGTAAATACCGACACAGCTAGGGGTAATACCAGAAGCTAGGGTAAATACAGCTAGGGGTAAATACCAAAGCTAGGGGGAATGATGCAGGAAAAAATAACAAAACAGTTTAGCGGCAGCCAGCGACCCA